TCCTGCAAAAACCTTTACAGTACTATTCCACCTTAGGCGGTGATTCATGCATTTCTCATGCCGGAAAGGGTTCCGTGAGCATGCAGTACGCACCCGTTTGTCACGCTGCGACCCGGCGGCCTTGGGTCTTGACAGCTGCCGGCTTGGTCTTGGTGGTCTGGCCGGTGATGGTGTCGGGCGAGTCCCGGGTGTCCTAGCGCAAAACGCATGGCGAATGATTGCCAAGACATGCTCTTACCCAACTTTCCCGATTTCCTTCGTGGCTTTGGCCTGGCAGCCCCTGTCGTCCAGGCCGATGCGGAAGCTGTGGCCACGCAAACCAGGGCCCTCGGATGCACGAGGGCTGCGTCCACGTCGGGGAACCCGTACTACTGACATAAGACGAGCTCTCAGACTCAAGTATTGAAGTCACAGAGATGTTTCTCCCAGGGTTGTCAAGGCACAGGCACACCGGCCAGAAAGCGGGACGGCGAACGAGGGAGGCAACCTCACACTGACAGCAGTGAGGAGAGAACTACCCTTTGACTGCCCAGCATGCAGACGATGAGCCTTGCTGTATCCAGCCTGTGTACCGCCCTTGGCACCATCTTGCAGCATGCTAGTTGCTGTGTCGCAGTTCGGGCGGAATTGAAGTCAAGGCTGACTTTGACATAATGCTGTAGCTTACGTGCCGGAGGCTGGCATGTTCATCCGGCTTGCTGCCAGTTGTCAGCTCCAAGAATACTAGCTAACTCTTCTGGCTCTCACTTCCGACTCTTGTCCTTAACGAACAAAAAGTCTTGGAGACTGCTTTGCCGGGGCTGTTGATCATAGAGCCGAAAGCTGCAAAACGTAACTGGCACTGTTCGCACTGGCGCGAGAGCGAACTGGCCGCGGCCCTCTATAGAGGCTCCAAATCTTCTGAGCATCTGGCACATGGGAGGGTCTGCGAAGGCGGCGTCCTGCACCCGGGGGCGGGGAGGGGGAGGAGAGGGTGCTCTGACAGATTTGGATGATGCCTGTTCGGCAGGTTCCTGCAGCATCGCGGACCTCAAGAAACAGAGTGCAGCCGCAGTCTCGTGACACAAAATCTCCCTCACAGTCATTGGCTGATGATGTTGGTGAGTGCTAGGTCTGAAATTTCTTAGAGCTTGGCAAGCTTTCCCCCATTCCCGCGAGCTCCTCGCGAAGCTATGTCTCCCTACAAAGTGATGCATCTTTCCTCCCCGCACGTTACATTCATTGCTTTGACAACATCAGCAAATAATGTCGGTAAGCTCTTCTGGCCTTTAACATCTGTGTAAAGACGGATGCTGTTCTTCTCGGGCAAGTGGGTCCGAAGCTTCCGACCGATTTCAACCGTGTTGTGTGCACAGAACGTCTGCCCAGGCTTGGTGCGACCTGGTCCTCGGGTCGTAGGCGCAGTTCTTCCGACCAGTTCAACCTCAGCAGATTCAAGAGACCGCCAATTCGACTCGGGCCCGAGGCCGCCCCAAGCCCGAGGCCTCAAAACTTCGCCGCCAGATTCGAAGGCAAAGGCACAAACAGCCAGGAGCCCGCCTGGCAAACAGCTTCAGCAAACATGGGCGAACAGCGTGTCGCCGGCCTTGGGCGTCGACACAAGCTGCAGCAGCTCCAAGCGCAGGTACGGCGCAAACACCTTTGACTTCGACCCACGCTCAGAGCGAAGATGTGGAGATGTGTGCAGGGAAGGCTGAGCAGCGATTTTGTGTTCCTGGTGCTGTGGCTGTGGTTCGGTCCTTCTGCCTGGAACGATGTTACACGATCAGACCGACCAAGCAAGGAGCAGCAAGGACACTGCCTGACGTGAACCTTCAAGCTGGAAAAGCCAAGCCGCACGATGCGAAAACTGAACGACCCCCACCCGCGAGGTAGCTGTTGACCATCTCACACTTGGACCGTCTAGACCAGGTTCAGGGTTGGCAGTTTGTCGTGATATAAAAGAACATGTCAACAGCGCGAAAGCACAGTGCAAAGGTCGACTGGCGGGCAACCGGCGAGTCGAATCTCACTCCTCGGAGAAGCGGCATCCTTCAGGCTTTCCGGTTCGGGCGCTCGAAACCCAAGATTCACGGACTGCCAGCGGCATCAGCTTTGAGGGACTGCACCATCCTCGCCGAAGTTTGGGAGCCATCCCTACACCGAAGCAAGAGCCACTGGAAAGCATGTGGGGCTTTGCTGGGGGTGCCAGACCCCAAAGCCAAACTATGCCCTGGACACTGTGGCAGCAAAGGCTGCCGACCACAAACGATCAGGGCGCTGACGCTCTGCGCGGTGCTGGTGACCAAGGAGAGCGTACAAAGACTCTGTTGAAACCTGCCAGAAGGCATCCTACGGAGACGAAGAGCATATGCAAGATAGTAGGAACTTGTTCATGTTCATCAATGTTCGGCGTTTCAAGCTCAATCATATTAGTTATACATCAACTCGGGGCTGGCGACGTGACGAGATGTCGGCAACAGGACATTGGGGGCACAGGGCAGCGGTGGGATTCGTTTCAGCTTAAAGGGAAGCGAGAAACTTGCACTGAAGGGTGCGGGCTTGGCTTGCTCAGGTTCAGGCCAGCGGAACGAGGTCGCCTTAAACATTAGATTTTTGTTGCCTGATAGCCCTCATTCTCCGAGTTTGCAGCGAAATAGTTCGGAAGGGGGTTGAGGGGAGGCTTTCGCTTGGTACATCTGGGCGACAAGAGAGGCAGCAAACTAAACGAGAACTGCTGCCTCCTCCATGAAAGCCATTTCCCGTTATCCCGTTCCACCACGGATGTCGAAGGAACATTGAGTCTTCTTTGCTCCTATCCGCTGCTGCAATGCAAGCCTTTTGTCACGGGACAGGCTCATACTACAGCATTCGGACTGGCCACTCTTGGCCAAGGAACCGCGAGCGCCGCAGTTCCGCGAAGTCCCAGAGCGGCAAGGCCTTGGAGCAAAGTGGACATGCCTTCGCTTGATGTTTGCCGCGACTGCGGCAGCACCGGCGCCGAGCACGTGGCCTTGTACGCGGCAGCCTGCCTTGTGACTTGTGCATTGCAAACAGCTGCTGTGTGCTAGAACGGCATGACTTGGCTTCGCACCGCAGCTGCCGCCAGAACCAATGGATCACTGTCGTTCTGTTCACCAGAACACGACCTTCATAAAGCAGCTGAAGGACATGCTGGGGTCTCGGACTTTGCCGTTTAAATTGCCTGGTGCCCTCTTCATGGTCGTCGGCTGTGGCACCTCGCAGGGCATGGCGAGATGCGACCACGTTTTCGGAGTGAATGAGCAGGCCATGTCATGTGTGATGTCGTGCCCAACTGTGACAGGCCAAGCAGGGCCAAGCAATCGTTTGTAGGCTGCAGGCGCTGAGTTGCACGGCGTCTGGTACGCGTTGGCTAAACATGACTGTTGCGAGGCCTTTCCTTTGTTTCGATGTCTTGCTGGCAATTCGGAATTCCCAAGACTCTTTTTGCGTATTCGCCTGTGCCCGCCTCTGAATATGTTGTTCTGCCTCGGCCAGGACTGGAAGGGCGCCATTGCCTTATTGACCTATCGCAGTTTAACTCGGCGAAAATGTGATGCGAGAGATGGGGGCTGAAATCATGCGCCCTAGACAGATTGCAGCACGACAGATTGCTCGAGGGCTCCCGTCGGGTCTAGACCCTGCTTCACCTGTAGGTGGGGCGTTTGCAGGCGCGCTGCTCCTGCCGGGTTGCCAAGACTTCTCACGCCCCTTCTCGCCGACAAGCGAACTCGCGCAGGGTGCTCCGACTACGTCATGTGCACCCGCCGAAAGCGTATGGAGAACCAAGGCAGTGGAGATGCATGCCGCCGTCGAGACATGTCTGGATCGCTGCGGAGGCTAGTTCTGGCCGTGCAAGTCTGTACACTGTCCCGGACATCCCTCTCCACACAGCAATCTATAGGCTATAGGCCTTCTCTCAGCCAAACGGGGACTTCGCCTGCCCCCAAAACCTTGGCAACAGAGATCCCAAGAATATTTGAAACGAAGGGGGCTTGGCATGCGTTAACAAACTTGGCATGTTTTGTCTAAGAGCCAAACAATCTCAGCAAGCACGACGCAGCTTAGTACGTCTCCGCCAGTTTCTCGAACCTCTCACTGTGCGAGAAGGGCGCGGCATGGACATCGCACGCTTCTCTCACTGTCTTTTGGTCAGAGACTGCTGGCCTGCAGGATCTTGAGTGACCCCCGTGCGCCCAGCAGAAACATGCCGTCCTCCGAATTGTGAGGACCTCACACAGCTTTCTCTCGCCTTCTTGGGAGCAGGCCAAGCAGCTTCTTGGTACGCTGGGCACCACTCACAGCATGGAAAAAGGCGCCCCAGAAAGCAGCCCCGTCTCGTGCGAGGCATCGATTGTGTCGCCTCAGCAAGCAGCTGACATGTGCCCCTCATTGCCCTACATTACTACATTGACTAGACTGATCTAGACTGACCTCATGGCTCCCGCAGGCCTTGACTGCGAGCTTTGCGCAGATCGAAGAGGAAAACATTGCCGGCCTTGCGCTCTCAAACCCCGCATGCCCGTGCGCTCGTTACCCCCATCACGAGCCTGTGTCACAGCTGCCAGAACGAAGCCGAAACCGCCCCGCAGAAAGCTGCACGCTGGCACCTTCTCACTTTTCTCTTTCGCCAGGTCTACGGACAAGAGGGGCACGCCCCCCTCGCCCTCGCGCATTCCTCGCCCTCTTTGCGCGGGCATGCAGATTGGCTAGCCCGTTCTGTTCTGAATGCATTCTTGGCCAGTCAAGCACACAGGATGCGTAAAAGGTCGAAGTCGGGGCACCGCTGAAATATCTTCTGCCCCGGCAGCTTCTGCCGGCATTGAAGCTGTTGCAAAGCAGGATCCATGTAGACCTTTGGTATACCGTGCCAGTGTCAGTCAGTTCGCATCAGCTCTGTAAGCCACTGGCGACAGTCGGACACCGGGGCGCAGACAGCGATAGACATTGATGCTCGGCAGGCCTGCAGTCTACGGCAGCAGCCACAACTCCATCAAGCTCACAGCTTAATAAAGCCCTCAATCAGCGAACCTTGGCCGCCACTTCCTGCTGCCACCAAGGCGCTCGTCCTCGGAGTGCTCGGCTTCTGTGTTGGAGCTCTTGGTCCCACGCCGCAGCTGAGGCGCCGACTCATCGAAGGCCAGTGCCGGCAAAAACGGAGGCATCACCTTCGAAGTTGGCATGGACCCTACAGGAGTACTGGCGTAACTAGCTGCTGCCACCTGGACGCCCAGCTGCGTGGCCGGCGCACCTGACTTCACCTTCACTGTACTCTGTTGACCAGCCGTGTCCGAGTTTACGGTACCAGTACAGCAGAGCTACACCAGAACCTGCATCGGTCGAGCCGAGCCTGCCACAAAAGGCAGTCCCTCGGAGTCGCGGCCACGAGATACACAGCATGCGCGTCCTGCATGATACTTGCAAACACACCTGGTGCACTGAAAGGCCAAGAAGCCCATCCCGGAGGGCAGGCAAGGCACCTTTTTTCTCACAGCGAGGCACCTCTTTACAGCCTTTGCTGCGAAAGACCCCACCGAGCCCGTGCAAGTTACCCACTTCCGGGCTGGCATCGAAGTCAGAATTGTCTTGAAACATTGATTCTCAGCCGAGCCGGAAGCACAGGTCACATGCACTGACGGTCATTCATGCATCCACCATCCACTAGTCCGGTCCAGGTGGTCCTGGACAATCTAAGCCAAGACTAAGACGAAGAATCAGTTTCAGGTGACGGTGGCCCATGCACAAGCATCCTGCTACGAATGTTAGCCGGAAGCCATGCGAAGCCATGCTGTTGCTTTGCACACTGTGTTCAACAAGCTTTATTTCTGGCCTGTTGCTGGACTTTGTGCCACGGCCTCAGGTCCTTGCCCCCAAAAGCGTCGATGCGGATACTCTCTTTCTGTTGCCGAAAGCATCCGAAAGCACTTCCGAAGTCTGAAACGATATCCGGGCCTCAAGGACCTGGTGCACTGTCAGACAAGCAAGCAAACACTCTCAGCCTCAACGTTTTTCAGCTTGCCAGCTGTGCTGTCGGCCCAGTGCCGTGTTAAAAAAACGGCCGACATGTCGGAAGATGCTTTCGCTGGCTTCAAGTTTTGAACCTGGTGGTTGGACGACGGAATCGCCCACGCCAAGCAGCTCTTGCAGTGCCAAAACTCACTCCTTTAAAAAGTTGAGCCTTGAATGGGGACTTCCGCCTGCTCAAGGCATGAACACGGTTAGCCGATCGCGGACCTTCTGCCTACAAATTGGGCACTCCGTCACTCTCGGTGCGCATTCATCCTTGGCAGGGAAAGCACGCACCGAAAGCATGCTGGAACAACGAGGCTATTGCCTTGCATGCTACTATCGCAACGACAAATCGCTTCATGCAGCAATCTCGCTTAGCTTGACCACTTCTTGACCAAGCATCACAGACACAAAGATGCCGGCAGCGAAGCAGAACCTGGGACCGGATCACGCTAGAGTGCCATGTCGGTACAGTCGCGGGATCGTGCTTGTGTCCTTGCTCAGGCTGGCTTGATACATCTCGTGATGAACACATCGGGGTTGGGTTGGATGCAGTTCGATGCACAGCCTTAATATATCACAATGCCGAGGTGCTGTATTCGCCAGGTGGTCCAGACACGCGATGCAGCAGCGTTCGCTGACCTCAAGACTCTAAGCCAAGATGGGCAGGTCAAAGCCTCGCCACTGCATGGCACATGTTGCTTAGAGCTTACGGTAAGGCTCTTGCTGCTTCTTGCCGCTGAGTCAACAGGGCAGCACGCTCCTCGCAACAAAGCCGAAGTCAGCAGTTCAGACACGCAGTGCAATGCAGTGCATTTTGATGAACCTGAACTGTCAACAGCTTCAAGTATCCGTTGAGTTCCCGCAGTTGCAACACATGGTTCACTAAATGCAACGGCCCACCAGGGCTCTTGGCTGTGAGCTCGACAGTCTGAGAAGCTGGCCGTGCTCGTTCCCATTTATAGGGCTGCCTATCTAGCCGGTCTTGCTAGGTGCCAATTTGGATAACCAGCGAAAAACTGTCTAATATGCAGATGTAGTGTAGTGGAGCTCCAGAAGATCCAAGCTTCCACTTCAGGTCTAAGGACTTGCTTGCACACTCGTTGTGGAGACGGGGCCGCTCCTGCTCCAGTGCTTGAATTCGCTGGTAGAGTTGCCTGGAAGGAGACTCTGCGCTCGCAGAAGGGCACTGCCGGTCTCTGCTGCAACGGGAGCCTCTTCAGGCACAACAATGCATCAACCTGCAAGGAAGGGGAAGCAACAGCAACTATGCTTGAAAAGAACAGTTGTTCGATGGCTGCATTTAATAAAGCGCCAGGCCTGAGATTCAAGTTCCGTTGTTTCCGCATCACTCACCTGCCGCTGGCCTGAATACGTCACCAGTGCTCCACAGGCTCTGCGCACCGACGAGCACTTGAACTAATCATGACTTAACGCACCATTGCAAACTCAAGGCTTGCAACCACATAAGACAACAGAGGCAAGCCGTGGTAAACCACGGCATCGGCCTTGCAGCGTCTCCTCGGCTGCCCTGGCCGATCGCGAGCCGCTCCATGTCGCAATTTCGAGGAATCAGCTACTTACGCAGCTTACGCAGGTAAGAACCTGAAATCTTCACCACTGCCGCATGCTGAAAAAGCGATCACGCCTTTGCAGCTCTTCATTGTCCTTCACAAGTCCCGCTGACTTCTCCTTAGCACGACGCTGTATAACCCCCAACTTTCTTTGTCAGGCGGCACACTATCTTTCAGGCGTTGCATTTGGTGGCCCCCCTCCACCCCCGAACGCGTTTCGGAACTCCTAGCAGGCGCAGCCCCCCTCTACCCCCGAGCGCGCTTCGGGATTCCTAACCCGCACCGTGTTTCGGGCGCATTCCAAAGACGTGAAGGCCTGACCGAGCAAATAAACTTTGCAGCAGAGATGGATCGTGCTCCTTCGGAGCCCCTTCACCCAGACCCATGGTAAGCTGCGGCCTACGCGTTCACTACCGGGTAAAACGGTACCCAAACACTCAGGACTCTCAAAGCCTCAAAATGGCTCGCAACTGCTGCAACTTCGTAAGTAGGTACCTACTTTCGCAGACATCGTGAGAACAGGCAGCAAAGCACATCATGCAGACGCAGCAATCCGAAAGCACCCCAAATTCCATCAAGAGGCCCGCTCGCTGTCGAGGGTTGCCTAGCAGGACAAGCCGCCAAGGTCTGGGCAAGGTATTTCAGGATCTGCTCACGAGATGTGGGTCTTGCCCCGGCCACCCGATTCCCACCTGTAAGACCTGCCGGAGCTCACTCTGATGACTTAGCTGCCGCTTGCACTGCTGCAGCTCGATCCGAAGGTTGACGAGTTCCTGCCATCAGCGGTTGCAGCTTGCTTGAAGCGGGAGATGCTCCCAAGATTTCAACCGGAGTCTCAAACTTCAGTTCTGTTTTCCGTGCCCAGGGTGAGTAGTGCACGGCAAACCAAGCCGACGCCAGTTCCTCAAAAACCTCTACAGTGTTTGTGGCGTCATAAGCGGCAAGAACTCAGACGTCGGCTCGAGGTTTAATTAAACAGCCATACCTCGGAGGCATCCCTTGTGGCACATGTTGTCTGCACGGCTTTGGGTGCAGAGCTGTACTAGCCAAGTGTGTGCACAAGATATTGATGCCGCAAAGATGCTTCTGTACAAGACTTGCATGTATGCACATACACTAAAGTCATGATGAATGAATTCACCACCATCTGCATTCGTGACTTTCCGCTATACTCCAGACACTTCAGATTCATGGTTCCCAGCGTTGCCGATTCTTTACATGGTGCGGCTGGGCTGCGAACTGAAATCTCGACACCGTCACCCTTCCATGTCCAACCCTCCACTGTACAAGACGGTCCTAGCGAGGGCGGAGCTCATGGAGGCTGCTGTAATAGCCATGCTGCACCCGACTGTATGGCAAGGTGCAGGCGTGCAGGCTTCCGAAAGCATCAAGCAAACATCTAGTATTGCTGTATTGCTAGCTACTGCTAGCCTTGCCAGGACAGGGAGGCTTCGTAAGGCTTCTTCACGCCACAAGTACGGAGCAATCCACCCGCAGGTGTGAAGTCGTCTTTGGTCGCCTGGTGTTGCGCTCAACCCTGAACTCTTCGTCTTCCTCCTCGTCGTCCTCCTCATCCATCTCAACGAAGGTATTCCGCACGACGATCTTGGGTTGCTGCTGTGCAAACTTTATGCGCTCCCTCAGGAGAGCCAAATCCGCATCGGGCAAGAAGCGAGGCTCTACACCCTCGTGCACCCCCGGTGCGGTGGATCCCCCGTTGGCACGGCGGTAGGCCGTCTTTTGTAGAGTGAAGGCTTCAAAGAAGTGAGCACGCACAGAGTTCCACTCCTCCCGAGCCACCACGCCTCAGCTGGAATTTGAACCGCTTGGAACTAACTACAGCTTCGAGCGAGGGGTTGCCAAGGTGTTTGCAGCAGAGCTCCACGATTCCGCATTTTTTGGGTGGAGGGATATGTTGTAGCTAGCAGCGTGCGATCTTTGTCGGAAACAGCGCGCCTGAATGCAGCATTCAGGCTGCGATCAAACATTCCACTTGCGAGCGGGTCAGGGGTCGGGATATAAAGTCGGAGTCGGAGTGAGTTGGTGATGCGAACTTAAGTCGCACGATCATTGCCGAACAAAAGCATGCTCAACGTTGACATGGGCCAACATAGCTTGCAGCCCAGATGCATTGATACGGAACGAGCTGGCGACCATCGAGTAAGTTGTATGTCTGAGCACTCGCACCAATGTTCTCCTTCGGCTGTAGGAGCTTTGGAGCTTTGTCTCTTTGGGCTGACATTGGAATTCAAGAACCCAGGGCCGAGGCAGGCTCAAAGCACTTTTGGCAGCACAGATACATTTCAGACCCTTTACATTCTTGAACTCGTCTTCGCTCAACCCATCTCCAGAAACAGCTGGATGTAGTCCGACAGGTAGAACTTGCTGCTGCCCGTCATACCTGAATGTCACATCACATGTCGAGTGGGACGCTGCACTTTGCGGCCAGTACTGTAAGCCTGTAAGCTTCAGATCCGCGCCTGGGTGATAGCGAACCCAAGTGGTGAGTCCTGAATGCGTCGGAGTCTAAGGGTATTCCTTTGAAGGGTCGAGGTCATGGCTGCATGGAAAAGCGCTTGAGCTTGAAGCCAGGCTGCCCATGCGTTGGCCGGCATCAATGCGCGTGACAGCATCCCCCGGGCTTGGAATCTGCACTGGAAGCCTCATTGGCACGCAACTACCAATGCCTTCGAGCAGCACACACTGGTTGTTGAACGGCTGCCAAAGAAATTTGCTGCCGCGAAAGGGGCAGTTGGAAACGGGTGTCGCTAGTACGTTCCAGCCCGAGAGGGAGGAAGCACAGAAATAGAAGGACTGGCCACTGTGAGACGGCGATCCATAGATAAAGGGGTCTGGTACAGGTATCTCCTTCGGTGGCACCGTGCCGCTCCAGTTCATCCAAGCGGCTGGGGCATACCCCTCTTGAAACTTTGAATGGCCAGGACCTGGGTTTTCTGTGCCGAGGCGCTCGCACCGTAAGACGTGTGACATAACAGAACACACCTTGCAGAGCTCAAAAATCCTGATGTGCTGTCGAAGTTCAACATAGAACTGCTCGTCCATGGATCGCATCTCCGAAATCCCTGGACGATTCAAGAACCACTGCGCTGTGCGGCGGCCCGACTCCAACCTGGGTTCTGAAGTGCACTGCAGTGTTTTCGGCAAGAAGGCGACGCACAAAACTCAAGCCATCGCCCATAGCTGTCATGTCGCGTTTCCAAAACGAAGTTGCGATGTTGGTATCGGCAGAGTTTCTTCATTCTTTGTGCGAATATTATTGCATAGTCGGCTATGCTCTGTCTGGCATGTCTGGCGTGAGACCTGCATGTCTGTGTCACCAACAACCGTGCTAGCCTCAGGCCTGTGGGCTTGCAAGAGTCAATTAGGTGTCAAAATGTGCCGGCGGCTCCTACACCCAGACTGGCGCGACTTCGGCCCGCAAACCGCAAGCTGCAGCAAACAACTGACTTACTTCCATTCGCCAGGTAACAACATCATGTAGTGGATCTTCGCCCAGTTGGCAAACTTGTCTTCTGGCACACGAAGCACGCAGTTCACCACAAACTTCTCTGGATCCCCTTGAGGACGACACACCTCAGGAAGCTGGAGGAGCAGCTTTTGCGTCAGAACCGTTGTCTGGATTCCCCGGAGGGTGGTTTCGCCAAGGTGCCAAGAGTCCTTCCAGTGGCTCAGTCTGATCGAAGAATGCGCAAGCACTGTCGCCCCGCTCTGGGTAGTCTCGTCTCACCTGCACAGGGAACTGACATATACTTACTGAGCACGGAGCTATGCACGAGAAACTTGCCGAGGCGCTCTCTGATGCAATTCGGTCTGCTTCGCCGGGTCGTAAAAGAAATAGTTCATGAAGTGGCCAGCAAGATCCCCGAAAAGGACGCTGCAAAGCCGGAGCAACCGCCAAGAGGCCCAGCGCTTCACAACAGCATCTCCCGGGGCCAGCCTAAGATGCACGTTTTGAGCTAGGAGATGCTAGGACCTAGGAGGCTCCAAGGCGATCCACAACTGCAGTCGCATTTTTCGTCGAGGTGCTGGTTCAAGACTTCGAAACTCGAACCCGGGCTTCGGTTTTCGCTTTGTGACCATGCTCGCACTTCCGGCCTGACCAGCACACCTGCCGTGTTCTCCGGAGCATCGGCGATGGTGATATCCTGCGAGCTCACGAGTTCGACGAGAGCACTTCGGGAAGCTTCGCGAAAGAGCCGTGTCCTGGTAGGAAAATTTGATGAGGTGGCCACCCCAAGGGCTCACACAGTGCGAGAGGGTCGACAAAGGCCGCGCCAAGCTGGTCTCCCAGCCATCCTGAGAAAGCAGGCCTGGGGCCAGATGGAACCAGTCCTCAACGCGCTCTGGACGGACGGCCATGGCGATACCCTGCTTTGATTCGCCGAGAGTGCTGAAGTTTCAACCGCTTTTGGGCAATCGTGCTGGCAGCGGATGCGTTCAGCTCGTGCAAAACTGATTCATGCACGTGTGTGTTCAAGAAACTGTGCTAGCAAGGACGAAAGCAAACAAACATCAGCAAGCCATGGAAACCCTTGTGCTCGACCTCCCCATCCACGTACGCACGCTGACGCCAGCATCCAGTACGCGGCTGACCCTTCGGAGGCCGAGCCCTAATCGGTGCCTCAGCAAAACACGGAGCAAGGCACACAGCCTGGCTCACTGATACATGGCTGAATGCCTCTAAGCTGCAGTGAGCTCCGGGTCTTCTGGTCCAGCCGACGTTCGCATGCAGGAGTCTAGCAATTTGCGCAAGCAAAGCCCGAGGCGAAAGCTTCATCGCTGTGCTGGAGTCAATCCTTTAATCCACAAGTCCTGAAAATGTCTACGAGCAGTACGGCTCTCAAGAACAAACAAACCGCCTCTTGCAGCAGCTCTCTGGAGGTCAGCACCCAGGCTTCGCGCGAGGATGCCGAGGCTTGATCCTAGGCTGTTATAGCCTTTCTAGCAAGGCTCAGCAAGCTACCAACGATCTGGAGTGCTTAAGGTTCATTGGCCACTGAGCGACCGCCGAAGGTGCGCCCAAGGCTACCCGAACGTCGACTTTGAAGACGAGTTGAAACTTCTGACATGCCTCGGAAATTCAGCAGACGACGACAGCACTGTCATGCGCATGTGTGTCCTGCAAGACCGGTCGCCCCGGAACCAGCAAGACTAAGATAAGTACTTGGGATGAAGCATCCAGCTTTCTGCCTTCCGAGTTGCACGACATCATGGAAGACGAAGTAGAGGCGCCATCGGCAGAAGCGCTTCGTCGCAAGGATCCTGAGCTGCTGGACGACTTCGGGGCCGCAGGATGACACAGTCGATGCCTTTCTCGGTAATCTACGCCTCTGCCGATAAAACGGAAAACAAACCTAGAACTTACAGACGTACATACAGGTGGCACCATGCGTATGTGCACAGGTGGAGTCCCTAGCTGTCCGAAGTAAAACCATGCCCAAACCAGCTCCGTGATGCAGCGACACAGGTATGCTGTAAGCTTGGGCGAGGCTCCAGAGGACACGTCCAGCTCGCAGCCAGCAGCTTCAAACCTGGAATGGACATGCCTTTGCCTCTAATACCGCAAGTCATGAAGTTAAACGCTCAGCGGGGCTTGGGCCATAAACAGGCCTGCAGCAAGGTGAAGTTGCGTTTGTGCCAGGGCACGGAGGGAACATCTCAGCTGCATTGTCAAGGTCAGTGGCAGGAAGAGTAGGCGGCAGCGACATAGCCGAAGTCACTGGCAACACCAGCATTCATGTGGGAGGCTCCTTTAAGCCTTTCAGACAACGTGCACAAGGAGACTGATTCTACGTTTGTCCCACAGGCTCTGACAGCTGTATGGGCCGGGTGATAGCGGAACTTCGGGACACTCGGTGGCGTGTCACTTTGAGCTGCATCACAGTGTCTGGTCATCGTACGTCATGACTGCGTCGGGCCACAGCTGCAGTGACAGTTGAAGGCGATACGCTAGTCCGCTAGTGGGCCCGCCAGTGCAGAACCATGTGCAGAACCAAGTGAATCTGCAGGCGTCACGCTTGAAACGTGTAGTTTGGCCATGTTTGGCCCTTCAGGCTATTTCAAGACTGCGGGCGATCTGCGCAGAAGTCCTGCCCTTCTTCTGAAAGGCGCATAGCACGCACCGGTCCAGACCTCAGACGGAGAAGTGCGATGGATTCCAAGTTTCGAAGACTCGTTCCGTGGAGATCATGTAGTCGCTCCCTGCGTGCTTCTTTCTTGTGCCGTCTTCTGCTTCACGCTCCCACCACCAACTGAACGGACGACATGTTTTTTCTCGTCTTGCTCAGATCGCTCGGCGATGTTCTATGCTTCGCTCTCTGTACAGTGGCCAGAGCAGGCCCACACGTTACGGCCGCTCACTGAATCATTGAACCGGCTAGATTTTGTCTTCGCTATGCCAAAAGCAGGCGTGCATGTCAATGCATCAGCAGACACAGCCTCATGTATGTTGGGAAACTCGCAGAATCGAACAGTCGAACTTTTCAAGATTTTCCGAAAGCACAGTGCTGCTACTGCGAGACGACTTTCAGAAGCGCTTCGTAGGCGTTCTGCAAGGCCTGAGGTATGAGCTTGCACCGTCGGGCCCAGCTTGGCACTTGTATCCGCCGCTTAGACCCTGCATGCCACCGCAATGCTCAGAGATAACAGCTCACACAGTGCTCACGGGCCGATCAAGACATTGCATAAAGTATAGGAAGTGGTCAGCGGTGGCAGAACGAAACACTTCGGCAAAGTGCCTGGAAGGCTGCTGTGGAGCCTCCTGCCCAGATAGTAGTGACGAAGCTAAATCTATCCTGGCTCTCGGCTTGGATGCAGGGGCTCTTGATGCCAGCTGTTTCGTCATGCCAGAAACTGAACCTGTCCTTTGTCTGGATGTTGTTGAAGCGCAAGCTTTCCTCATCGAAGGGACAGGTTTGAGCAAGGCTGACTCAGCTTGGAGCCGCTCTGTCGCCACTACTTCAATGATTCAACTACTTCACTGTATTGAATCAGAAATCCAGGACAGGAGGCGATACGCGCTGCGCAGGGTATCTGAGGTGGGAAGTCCAGTCGTTGGCAGCTGCAGGACCTGATGGACAGGGTGCACATGGCCGGTCTGCCTCAGCGCGGCGGCATACCCTGCACACCCGTGACAACCCATGATATCCCCATTGGGCCCCTGAAAACAAGACCGCTTCCGCCACGGCAAGATGGTACAGTAACTTACTACCTCACTTGCCGCTAGTCACATCTGCCTGCTAATCCTGGCCTGCAGGTGCTGCTGCAGTGTAGAGCTTGGGTTGAGGCTCGGTGCCTGCGATTCATGCGTCTCGAAAGCAGCCCTACAAAGTGTTTTGGCATTCCTCTAGACTCATATGTGACGAAAACTGATCCCGAGCGCCTGGGTATCTGCGCCGGGAAAACCGCTCGCGGATGCACGTGCCTTGCAGACTTGGTCAGTTCTCACCGCCGCTGGTTTTGTCTCATCCCAACGGCCACATGCGGCCAAGACACCTTCCTCCCTTGCCAACCCTGACCTTAGATTAGCCATGATGAGTCTGGCACGACGCATGGTTCGCAAGAGGCTAGGGCATACAGTCTGCAACACCATCCTGATTGACGAAAGGCGCCGTCCTGCCTGTATCTGGTTTTCGTTTCCGCCTCGATAGTTCCGCAGTTCTGCCTTCGGTTTCTTGCAGACAAGCGCCGGTCAGCATACCTACTCAATCCTTTCTTGATTTCGATTGGCAAAGATGGCATAGTAGCGAAAAGAAGTATGCCGAAACCACCCACGCTTGTACTCAGTTTCGACAGAGCGACGGCGCCAGCCTTCTTCAGGGTCGGCTCTGGAATTGCCTTCCAAAACAAAACAGCCGGCGGATCCCAAAATCACGTTCGTACAGATCTACCTCAAAATTATACCAAGTCAAGCAAAGCCTGACGATGGATGACGGCCCCACAACGCCTTCAGGTGCCTGCCGCCTGGCGTTTTGCTCGGCGAAGAACTTCTCCAGCTTTTGTCTGCACGCCTTCGCGATTCAGCGCTGAACCCTCACAGCGCCTACAGGGGTACAGGTTTGCTGTTCCTGACAGCGCCATGCTATGTCGGCAACGACCGTGACTGGGCAAGCACAGGGCGCACCTCTGCTCGGGCTGCCGCCTGTGGAATGCCTTCGGCATATCTTGTCGGTGCGACGAGAATGGAACTATAGCTAAGCCACCCGCCTCCCAGAAGCTCTGCTGTCTCCCAGCTGCTTGCCGCCTCCAATGTGAAACGGTCATGGCTGAGGGCTCAGCTTGGTGTCTTCCCTGATTGCCGAGCCTCGGCCAGAAAGCCCAGCTGCTCAGCGGCCTCGCCTCTCATACGACAAATCCAGTCGCCACAAGGACCGGAGTGCGATGGATTGCACTGATTACATTGATTACACTTCGCATGCGACATCTCAGTCATGTGTCACCACCCGGGACACTCTCCTTATTTTTCATTCGCATGCAGCGAAGAGTGATTCTGTGCCCAAAACGAATGGAGTTGACGGACAAGCGAGAGCGCAGTCTGGTCAAAGCAGGCGGTACCACCTCCGGCCTGACGACTTCAGGATCAGACCGTACCACGACAAAAGGAAGGCACCGAAAAGCAATGCAAGCGCGAGGCACAACAGACAAAGCGAACGGAAAGCAGAAAAATAGAGACAACACCGAAAACAAGCAGACAAGGAAACAACAAGGCGGCGGCAAGACCCCGTACCGCCTCATCTCCATTCCGACACGTTGGCTCTTAGTGGGGGTTCCCACTCAGAGACCTCGCGACCGCTAATAAATGATTATAGTGATTAGTGCCACTGTGCCGTGTCTATATTCTATATGAAGACACAACGCGCGCGACAGCGATGGCACTCAGACTCTGTCCAACAGCTCGAACGTTGCACCACAGGGTAGGTAGAGGCTGCCTGGCCTCGTGCGGCATGGGCTCGAGCCAGGCTCGGGATCAGCGCCAAGGCATCGTTTGCATCTGCGAAGGCATCCTGCCAGTGCGAGCCGCGCGAGGTCGTGCGAGCGTTGAGGTTCCATCAAATGTTCCATCAAACCTCCATCTTGCGCACACGCGCCTGCCACTGGCAGAGCTGGTTGCGCAGCTCGGAACGCAGACACAACGCTTCTGCACGTGCCGCCTTCCCGATCGGCATCCGAGGCATGATAAGTGATTACAGCAGGACTAACTCCCACGACTTTCCGCGCACGGAGCCCAGGCTTGTGGGGGGCATCATCTGGAATCTACCAGTAGTTGGCTTGCCGGTAAGTCTTGGGGTTTGGTAGAAGGGGCCCGCACCCTCATAGTGCCATGACCTGTATGATGCCCCGAGATGGCAGAGTGTTGTACATGATGGTTGAGACGAGCACTAAACATCACTAAACACGATGAAGGGCCTGCCGTGTGCTGCGTGCTCTTGTCGCTTGCGTTTTGCTGAAGCTGTGTAGAAACTATCCCAGGCCCGCGCTTGAAAAACGGTTGAGATAGTCGCCTTGAGCCGTTCACCTCTTGTCCGCTGTTGCTCTTATCCGTCTTATCCATCGGAGTAGGGCCTTCTTGCTGGAGCTTTGCAGAGCTCGGTCTCTGGGTTGTCGGGTCGTGGGGCTTGCGGTGCTGTTGGTCGGGCCTGGTGTGACTGTGGCTCTGCCGTGTGCTTTCGGGTTGCCCTGCTCACGCACGGATGGCGCCTCGTTCTCCGTGGATGCGGAGAGGATGGCCTGAGCGAGAGAGCTGAGTGTCTCCGAGTTGAAGGAAGCACACGGCCCAGGCCTCCGAGAGAAGCTTGACTGCTTCTGATAGCTGGCCCAACTGAGCAGCCCCCGCGGCACGGCGCATCGGAGACTGCACACCTTGGCACTTTCAGCATTTGGGCGCCCTCATCTCGGATATCTTGGCACAACCCTCAGCTGATCATGTTGTGGATGCCATGGTGACCAAATCTGCTGTGGCACGAGCCCGCCGTGCGGCCTCCTCGCGGCGGGATGTATGCGCGGCTTGCGACAGCCGCAGCACGCAGGGAGAGGAGCTGACTGCAGCCTGTCGCGCATCCACAACCATCAAGGCGAGACGAGGTCGCGAGACTTCATCCCCCTAGCCTGCGCCGACATGACTGTGAACGCTTACTGCAGCTGTCAGAACGGCAACGCGTGAATCTTGTCAACACCGGCACCGCAAGGACGCATGCTTCTCTCAGGGCCAAGGGGCTGAGCTGGTCGTGGCGGTACAGGTATAGACACCTCTACAGGCGCAAGCACATGCAAACACAGTGTCAACCGCACGAGGGAAGGGCTTGTCTCCTGGATGCTCAAAACATGCACTTTTCGCTCCTATACTCCAGCCTAGGAGCCTTCATCACCAGGCGTTCCGCTGACCACCAGCCGCGGCCGCTCAGCTCTGTGCAACGGAACGGCATCCTTAAACCACTGATAGCCTCAGAGATTCGATAAGAAAGAACCACAGTAGAACAAAAGTGAACTGACGCTACAAGTTCTCATTCGATCGCAACTGTGGGAAAGGCTGCTTAGACTCTCTCCAGCCAAGAGTCGCACGGTGCCCTGAAAGCTGACAGCCAGGCACGTTAGAGAAGCAGTGCCGGCCCCAATCTCCAAACCTGCTGGCCACAATGCTTGCGGAAGCTGAAAAAACTCCCACAGGACTCTTGCCAGGGAACAAGACGGCGGCTGCCGCAGGAAGATCGGCTCTGAGGAGCTTGAGCTGGAGGCCTGGCGTTACAGCGGGCACATGCCTACGCGGCCTGGAGCCCAGACAGCCCAGCAGGCCTGGTAAACTTTCTCCAGGATGTGCCTGCAACAGGCCGCGGGCATCGCAGCCGCAACTCGAGTCGGTTAGGCCCAGGAAGGGGCGTTGCCTTGCAGTCCCATCGGCGCAGCCTTCCAACAAGAAACCACTCAAAGGCTGTCTGAGGGTGTGGGAGCGGTAGCTGCGGTGATCGCAGCAGCCGTACCCCGTTCCCAGCATCGCCTCTGATGTGCGCAACATATTAATTCCAAGCAGGCCAGCCTTTCGCGAGGAGCTGCAGATCAGACGAACCAAGAAGTGGTCGAAGCAGGGACCTTTTTTGTTTGCTGTGTTTGCTGGTCATGCCACAGGCGCCATGTCCTCCTTCCACTCTGAACAGGCCAGGCCGACAAAGCTTTCACGGCATGCTCTGTTTCAGGACAGCAGTGGTTGCAGCGCAGCTCTTCTGCGAGGTCCTGGCAAAGCCAAGTCAAACTCTGTTGATCCTGGCCTTCCTCCCATTATCATGCACATGTCAGCATGAGGCCGCCCGCTGTTTCATTCCCAAGCCCTATCAGACAAAGCCCAATCGGCTGGCAGCCTGCAACGCCTTGCAGTCCCCGCACGTGGAGTCCATCGGTTGCACCTGCAGGTATCACTTGCAGTGGTGGCCAACGCCCGTTTCGGGTACGCCGTGTACGAAACGTGGCCCACAGGACCCCGTAGGCCTGGCCTGCGAAAACTGCTCCTCGCCAAGGAAAGTTACGTCCTGTGGCCACACGGCAAGATGAGGCGACTCCGCATCATCGGAGGAGCGCAGGAAGGACTCCAAAGCTCCTGCCTCACTCCACCGGGATAAGAAGTCAGAGATATGCTGCATGCATTATGCTAGGTCTCAATGCAAGAAACCCATGCCTTCGGCAGGTCTTTGGCAAAATACCTTGTGGCAGCTGTACCGCATAATGCCAAGATTTCAACTTGCATCATGCAGGCTGTGCCTGACTTGCAGCTTGAGTCGCCAGCAGGGGGAGCTTCCGAATTTGGCTGAAAAGAAAATCCACGTCTCGGAAGCATCTCCTGAGGGGCGAGCAGGCCGGCCGGCCCTTGTCGCCCTTGTCTTATTGAAGCCGGGCTGCGCTTCACATAAGCCGGCCGCCCTTCGAAATGGTCGGTCTCCACGTAGACTCCACGAAGGTTGGGCCACGGGCTGGCCACTTTTAGCTGCATCGGTGTCCAACGCAGTTCACATCAGCATTAGACAAGGGCGAGCGGTGTTCATGTACGGATACAGGGAAGGGCTTATGCCACTAGGCTAAGATTTTCCGACGTGGACTTACCGCTTGATTAGTTTTGGCTTCGAAGACATATTCCGGAGATTCAATGTCAAGCAAGCGGCTGCGATCGGCTGCGCAAATCTGGCAAGATGCAGGGCGCAGGAAACACATGTTCCTTGACCTGAAGGACCACACGCTGGGACTGACTTGTGTTCCTTGGCCGGGTCGTGTACGGAACGGGATCCTTCATGCTTGTGTTCTATTCTGAGTCCCCCATATTTCTTGGGCTTCTGTCATGAGGAAGGCGGCCCCCGACTTGCCTACGAGATCACGGTGGCACCTTTTCTGACCTCTCAGTGCGGAGATCCTCTGTGTCTTGTGTACATCCGAGGCGAGGCACCTTGACCCAACTAAGCTCATAGCATCAGTTGCTGCCGATCCTGTCCCAGGCCCAGACTGCAGAAGCTTATAACTGTTCATGAAAGAACAGATTCAGAATATGGGTTTGCGATTTCAACTTACGGTGCAGGTTTAGCACCCTATGCTTGCCAGTACCGTGCGGGTAACTCTGCGCGAGTCCGGCAGCTGCGTTCGGAGAGCGGACACGCCTTTGGCAGGACATTTCCAGGGGCATCAGCTGGAAAATGGGTTCCCCCAAACTCCCTAGAGAACGCTAAAGGCAAGCGCAGATGAACTGAGGAACTGCATTACGATGCACTGGTCTCTGCATCTCTGAAGCGAAAAGGCGCTTACGCCAATGCGTGCTCGGACTGAAACAGAAAGGTAGCCGGTCCACACCACCAATGTGGCAAGACTCCCTCGCCATTGGAAGTTACATGACCCTGTGCATTGCATGTTACATTTCTACACTGCAATCACTGCAAAGGCAAGGTTGTCAGAGTCGGAGCAAAACCAACGAACTTTCAACTCCGACATCTGTGGACAGAAAGAGGCTCAAGACATCTCTGGTCGAGATGCTCACCATGGGCTGCACCAAGCGAAACGCAGCGAAACTGTCTTGCCAAGCCAAGCTGCTGATGCTCTTACACACTGAAAACTACAGTTCCCGTGCTTCTGCCATGACCGCCATGGTTTGCGGCTCCGTCTGAACTGGGATCCATTGTCACTTGTGGGTTGCATGCGCGGCTTGTCATCCGGGTGTTCCCTGCAGCGACATGCATGTATGGTGGACACTGTGTAGGAACTGTTCGGCTATTGGGTCAAAGTATGGGTCAAAGGCTTCGTGGCGTTTTGTAGGTGCTTGACCCAGTGCCTGACTGTTATGTTCTCGGCTCTGGCTTGAGGAAGTGCCGGATGGAGGAGAGAGAGGCTAAAGCTGAAAGTCGCAAGTGACTGTGGACCCCAATCCATGGGTATGCTACGGCATACTTGGGCAGGTGCTGTCGCCATCAACGACGCTGGCATATTTAGAAGCCGTCTTGACGGCCCCGATTCATTTTGGATAGTGAGTTGTGCTTGGTGTTGGAGTGAGCTCAAAGCTTTGGAGAGTTCTCTTGAGCTTGATCGGCGTGATCTGCCCATGGTTTGGAGCTTCCGATCAGGCCGAGTCGTCTCCCTTCGGAGCCCTTCCGTCCTCTACCTGCAGCAGGCATAGGCTGTCACGGGATTACTAGAAGGACGTGTTGCAGTCAATGTCAGCCTATGCACAACATTCAGATATCCGAAGACCCTACAAGACATGCACGGTCAAGGCATTTTCATACAATACCAACGTACAGTTGGCGCAGAATTACGATGTTATGCAGCAGAGCCAGTCGGCGGAAACAATGTCATATGGCCTATATATATATATACATGGCTTATTTGTTTTTGTATACGTATGTATATATATATATA